GAGAAGAATTCTAAGAAGAAAGTAAACCTACAGACATTGGTCTTGTTTAACAAAATCTGCCTACAAGAAAATCTGTCACCAAAGTACACCAACATTCGACTGCAATGTTATGTATATATATATTAATCATCCTTACAGTGTTGAAGAGGTGAAGTTGATGACAAGCTAATAATAAAGCAAGCAGTACTTTAGGTTCTATACACAGAAGTAATGTTACAATCTAAAAAGTGCTGGTCTTTTGGAATATTGTGCAGTTTTGCTCACCTTACTTACGATAGTGAAGGTTGAACAAGGTTCAAAAAAGGGATACCAGGATGAGTTTTGGCTTGAAAAAAAAAAAAGGAAAACTAAGATATTTTAATGTTCACAATGTTTCAGGCTAGGATGTCCTTCCTCTGGTGATTTTAAACTTTAATTAATCATTTTTCGTCGTGTAAGTTTTCTTTTTTTTTTCAATTTCTTCATACCACAGCAGTTTTTTTTAGCTGAGTTCAGGTTTGGACAGGTTTTTAATATTAAATCTTGACACATATTCACTGGAGGTTTCAGGTTTTTAAAAATGTTAAAAGCTTGGAATCGAAAGCCCAGAATTGATAAAACACTATGCTAGCAGTAAGACTACAGATATACAAATTTAAAACATGGAAAACTCAGACAAAACTCCAGTTAAGGTAGTGTTACTTTTCTAATGAGGTTGTTAGCCTATGGAATAATTTTACTTCAGGTGTGTTAGAAGCTGCAATACTGAAGGAGTTTAAGAGGCAAATAGTTGAGTATTTTAGACATAGGAATGGATATAGAAAAAGGAGTTTCTCAAGTAGTTTATAACTGGTTGGTAGTATAAACAAGGATAACCAAGACTCGTCAAATGGCCCATTATTACCCGCTAAAAATGAAACAAATTGAAAATCCAGCTCACTATCAGAATTAGCATTAGCACCTGTTAAGTATATTAAAAAAACAGTTCTTATTAAGTATTAAAATTGATGTTGATTTGTTCCATATCTTGCTTAAGGCAAATCATTTTCTCTTTAAACATTAGTTTCTGCTAGTTATAAGACTTGATGAATGCTGTAAATGTTTAAACACCAACAAAAGTATTACCTATTTTACAGCTGTTCAAGTGGCAACCTTAATCAGAACACAAAAGGATTCATTATAGGATTCCTATGTAATATATAGATGCATGACAATTTCTCAATATAAAAATACTGCATTAGATTTATAACAACATACTTCTTGAAATGTAACTTTTATTAATACAATGAAACATTACTTACAAAATCTACTCCAATAGTGCTGATATAACTTTCTGTATAAGTATCATCCTGGAAAAAAATTTACAATAAATATTTACCTTTTTCAATAAAATAACTAAATACAAGTATTAAATTTCCTTTCAACTTTGTTCAGAACAATAACAAAAT